AAAATGGGAGTTCATAACCCACTTGAATCAAAATGTGAAATATGATATATCAAGAACTATGTAATGTTTTGAACAACCAACAATAAAAAAAAAATAAAAATAAAAAAAAAGGTAGCCCAGTGTTGCATGGTAATGGGTCTCTCATAGTTCATCAGACAATGCCCCTTCTGATGGGCACTGAGGTCTCAAATTTTATGCTACTATAAGTAATATTTCAGTAAATATTTTTGTAAGATAAGAAATATATATATATTGTATGTCCTCTCCTCTCTGCCTGGCAAGTCACAAAAATCAGAATTTCCTAAGGAGGGGGCCCAGGAACCTATAATTTTACTGGAAATTTCTGAAAAATTCTTGTAATCAGACTCGTTAAGGAAACACTGCCTCAGACTTCACAGACTTGAATCAGAAATTCCATATTCTTTCATCCCTGAAACAGCCCACAAATGCTACGTACAAAATATTCTGTATTGGCTTCCCTTCTGCTGGGGCACACCAGGCTCTCCAAGGAGCTGGTGAGCATGCAGCTTCCAGGAGTACTGTAGGGCTGTTAGCTGGAGCATAAATGAATAAACGAGGAAATATGAATAGATAAAATATGGGGTATCCAGTTCAAACTGAGTTTCTGAAAAAACTGAATAAAATTCTTAGCATAAGTATATCCCATGCCATATTGGGGACCTACTTATAACTAAAATTATTTTTTTTAATATAAATTAAAATTTAACTAGGTGTCTTGCATTTTTTCTGGCAACCCCAAGCATGAGTCCTTGGGCCTGGGGGAGCTCAGAGATCTGCACTGCTGCTCTGCTGTCACGCGGTTCTGACACGGGGGACCTCAGTGGCCTCCTGAGAACCGCTGATCAGGACACCACCCTCTGGGTCGGGAGGCCTCGCAGTGCTGCCAGAGGACCCGGAGCTTTCCCTGAGCAAACGCGTTAGCGTTGGTGCGAGGGGAAGGAGAGAGCAGGAGCGGCCTGTCCCCGGGCTCCAAAGCCCAGTGTGAGCCCCGTGGTGGGGTCCTGGTCCAGGCGCCTGCGGGTCGCGGAGGGCGATGCCTGTGGCCAGCTCTCACAGGGCTCTGGGAGACCCCAGCCCCAGGCCGCTGGCTGGAGTCTCTGCATTTATTATTCTTGGTCTTGTCCCAGGAAGGGTCTAAGCCTTGGGGGTCTCAGTCCCTGCAGCAGAGCTGGGGTGGGAGCGAGGCCAACACCCACCTCCCGGACACAGACGACCACGGGGTGCCACCGAGGCGCCGCAGGCTGTGAATTTCACCATCGTCACGGGGCGCATTGGACCTTCAGGTAACCACGGCGAGACCCCGTGAGCCCAGGGCGGTCCCGGCCCCACCCTGTGGATGCCAAGGCGGCCGTCCAGGGTCCCGGGCTGCTCAGGAGCCCGCGGGGCAGCAGGGCGAGGACCCGCGGCCAAGCCTGTGACCTCGCCGGCCGTGCGCCCTCCCTGGTCCGTTCCTGGTGACCGCAGTTTCATGGGTTGATTTTCAGTGATTTCACCTGAGACCCAGGTCTGGCCTCGAGCTGGGCCCCACAGTGGCTGTCGTGTTCCCAGCTGGGACTCGGAGTTTCCCGAAGGCCACACCCCGCCATATGGGGGCGATGCTCCCCCAGACCCGCGGCCGGGGCTTTCGCAGCCGGCGGTGCGCAGCCTGCAAAGAGGGGCGCCCTCCGCAGAGCTGCACCCTGGGCTGTCCCCACTGCAGGACGAAGCAAGCTGGGGACATCGTCCCCTGCAGCGCACTGCTGGGCACCTCGTCCCCTGCCCCGTCATGGCTCGGCATGTGGTCCCGGGCGGCATGTGGTCCCGGGCACCCTGGGCCTCTGGCACAGCTGGGCACCCTGTCCCCCTGCCCCGACGCGGCTCGGCATCCCGCCTGCAGTGGCCCGAGCTCACCTGGGGTGGATTCTCAATGACCAGCTCGTAGGTCAGTCCCACGGATCCAAATCTCAGGATGTCCCCCGGGATGAGCTTCACAGCCACGTTCTGGATGTGACACTCGTTGACGAACGTGCCGTTGCGGGAATTGAAGTCCTGAAGAACGAAACTGCCCTCGTCCTCGTTGAACTCAATGAGCGCGTGGTGGTTGTCGATGTCTGCCGACTGAAAACACAGACGGACAGTGGTCATGGGAACAAAAATGCACGGCCCTGGTGCGCACTGTACGCCAGAATGTGTCACCCAAGTCACTGTGGATTGTCACCACATTGTTTTATTTATTTTTTGGTACTGGGCACTGAATCCTGGGCCTGGCACATGCTAAGCAAGTACTCTACAGGGAGCTACACCCTCTGCTCACAATCCTCATTGTTAAAGGATGCTGAGGATCAGAGAGGGTAAGTGATTTTCCTAAGGCCACATAGCTAGAGTGTGTTGGAGCTGGGATGTGCTCTCCGACTCTAGACCTGGGGACAGGCACCAAGTTGTTGGGTGCAGAGTCAGAAAAAGGCAAAAGGAAGCTGGGTAGTCTTAGTGGGAGTTGGCCGTTCCTGTTCCCTTGACTCTGCACCAGCAGGTGTACGGTGGGAGGGAAAGGCTGGGCCGGAAACAGAAACCACCTGGACGCCAACCACGAAGGCCAGTGGCCAGTGAGGGCTGTCCAGCCAGGTCCATGGAGAGGGTACACATAGCCGAGGGGGTGTTGCTGTTCATTGTTTTGTTCATTCAAAACTAACATTTCTTATTGCAGAAAACGAGAAATAGAGAAAAGCAGTAAAAAGATATTAAAATCTCTTGTAATCCAAATCTCTTGTAATCTCATCCTCCAGAGGCAGCCGCTGTTAATACTGTGGCTCACATCCTTCTGGGTTTTTTTCTATGTTGACATTCTTTTAAAATTAAAACAAAATTAATCACTTAACACATACCACTGCCTTTCAAAACTCGGACATGCAATGAAGCATGTTCCCATGTGATTAGTTATTCCCATTGCATCTTGGAAGCTACTCAGAGTTTATCTAACCAAAGATGATCTACCTTTCAACAGGGGGCCAGGTGTGACTATGGTCCCCAAAGGAAAGTCTCTGCATTTATTATTCTTGGTCTTGTCCCAGGAAGGGTCTAAGCCTTGGGAGCTTAGACCAGTGCCTCTGGGAGCTGGTGGTGGGGGACGGAAGCACCTCTCAATTTCATTTTTTAAAAAACTCTGATTGAACTCAAGGATGCTTAACCACTGAGTCATATCCCCAGCCCTTTTTATTTTTTAATTTTGAGATAGGGTCTTGCTAAGTCTCTTAGGGTCTGGCTAAGTTGCTGAGGTTGGCTTTGAACTTGCAATCCTCCTGCCTTGGCCTCCTGAGTTGCTGGGATTCCAGGCGTGCACCACGGCGCCCAACTTAATTCTGCTTTAATAAGAAGAGTGAGCCGAGCTCAGCATCCAGGGCAATAGCACCTTCCCCTGGCCTCGGGCCGTGCAGGGAGGTAAGGAAACCCATTTCTTTTCTTTTCTATTCTATTTATTTCCTTTCTTCCTTCCTCCTCTTTTTTTATTTTATTTATTTATTTATTTATTTTTTTATGATGGAGCCTCACTCTGTTGCCTAGATTGACCCTAAGCTCAGGTGATCCTTCTGTCTCAGTCTCTGGGTAACTGGGACGCCCTGCACGTACCTCATGCCTGAATGTCTTTGTCTTTTAAGGACACAGCCTACAGGACATCTGCTCCAGCCCGAGACTTTGCAATCCTTTTCTAAGTTCACCTTCTTCATCTTTCCAGGATATCCCCATCAGGTTTCATTAAAAAGTACATGCACTCAGAAATCTAAAATGCCACCATAAGTACCAACAGTTTGCTTTACTAATAAAACATATTGATGCATGTGACAGAGGAGCATTCTAACATATTAAACTTTACATGCCAGGAAACTGGCCAGCTTTTTTGCCACGGTGTCCCACTTCATCCTCACAATCCAGACAGTCCCCATTTTGTGGAGGAGGAAACTGAGTCATAGAATGATGGATTTATGTGGGGCCACCAACTTGACAAGCTTGGTTTGTACCCAGTTTTCCTAAATTGAGGTCTATTGACAAGTTTCCATCAAACACCTTAACACTCCAATACAAAGACACCAAAGAGAGCTGGAGTAGCTAAATTCATTGCAGACACATCTGACTTCAGAAGAAGAAGAGCTATTGGGGATGTAGAGAGGCATTAAAAAAGGATAAAAGGGTCCATTCTCTGAGAAGACGTAACAACCCTAAACATGTATGCACCTCATAACAGAGTTAAAAAAATACAAGAGGCAAAACCCAATAAACTGCAAGGAGAGACAGAACATCCCTTGTGGTAGTTGAGATGTCATTCCTTCTCTGTCAGTAACAGATGGACCCAGCAGGCAGAAAATGAGTAAGGCCACAAGATGAACTGCACGGCACCAGCCATCAACCAGATCTAATTGGTGTTTATACACTATGTAAGCCAACAACAACAAGACACACATTCTTTTCAAGTACATATAGACAATCATTCACCAAGATACACCACGTTCTGGGCCATAAAACACACCTCAGCATATTTAAAAGAATAGAAAGTATGCTGACTCTGCTCTCAGACCACAGTGGAATTAAACTAGAAATGAGGAAGGAAAAGATTGCTGGAAAATCCCCAAATATCTGAAGTTTAAACAATTTGTTTCTAAATAGCTAAATACCACATGAGTCATAAAAGAAGTCCCAAGACCAGTGAAAAATGATCTTAAGTAAATGAAAATGAAAACCAACATTTGTGGCTGCAGGGAGAGCCGGGCATGGGTGGTGTGAAGAGAGATCTCAAATAAACAGTCAAGGCTTCCACCGTGGGAAACCAGAGAGAGAAAGGCAACGAGCCTAATATAAACAGAACATAAATAAAAATTAGAGCAAAAATGAAAGAAATTGAAAAAGGAAAAAAGTATAGATAACAATAAAAGAGACTTGCATCGTTTGGATTTGAATGCACACATGTTGAAGATTTGGCCTCAGCCTGTGCTCCTACTGTGAGGTGGTGGAGCCTTTAAGAGGTGGGGCTTAGTGGGAGGAAGTTAGGTGACTGGGGACATGCCTTTGGAGGGAATCTTGGGACCCTAACTTCTTCTTCTCCTTTTGCTTCCTGGCTATCATGGGGTGAACGGGCCTCCTCTGACAGGATGCACCTAGCTGCCCCAGACCCAGAGCAGCAGGCCAAGCAGCATGGACTGAAATCTCTGAAAACATGTGCCCAAATGTACCTTTCTTCTGTAAGGTGATTATCTCAGGTATTTTGTTATAGTAGTGGAAAGCTGACCAACACAGACTCCAAAAGGTGAATCTTTAGAAGGATCAATAAAATCAACAAACCTCTAGTAAGCTAACCAGAAAAAAAAAGGGAAGACAAAAAGGATTGCAGGCAGACAGGAGAGAGAGAGGCCATTGCCACTGAGCCCAGGGACATGGAAAGGACAACAAAGGAATATTATGAACAACTCTCTGTCCACAAGTTGGATAACTTGGATGAAATGGACCTACTCCTTGAAAGACCAATCTACCAAATTCATACAAGAAGAATCAGATGATCCAAGTGGGACCATACATCCTTCATAAAAGAACTTGAATCAATAATTAATAATCTTCCAAAGAAGAAATCACCAGGCCCAAATAAGTTCATGGATGAATTATATCAAACACTTAAGGAAGAAGTGATACGATTTCTTCCAGAACACTCCCCAACTCATTCAATGAGGCCAGTATTGTCCCAATTCCAAAACCAGATACAAACATTACAAGAAAGGAAAACAAAAAACCAACATCTCGTATGAACATAGATGCAAAATCTTCAACAACATGTTAGCAAATGAATTCTCAATGTACAGAAAGAATGAATCGAACACTCCCAACCTGCCGAGCACCACGACTCCGAGTAGCTTACCTAAGAGGTGCTCCGGAGCCTCGTTTGCCTGCAGTGGGGCACTGAAGAGGGTATTGTGTCGCAGGACCTTAGCCCAGGAAAAGACCAAAATTCAAAACTCTAAGTGTGGTTGCTACTGAAGGTGTGCTGCGTTCGCACCACTGGAAAGTGAGAAGAATCACAAACCATCACAACCTGGGGGCGGTCCATGCAGAGTGAACGATGTGAACCAGAGACTTCAGTTAGTAAAAATATACTCACCAACTGCAAAAATGTGCACTGGCAAAGTGTGTGTGTGTCTCTGTGTGTGTGTGTGTGTGTGTGTGTGTGTGTGTGTGTGTGTGTAATCGGGGGGACAGAGAGATGGGAACTCTATTAAAGTGTGCCACCCTCTCCTCGTTCCTACTAACCACATTGGTGCCCTGGGAACCTTGGTGGCCTACAACAAGGAGGCGAGTTCTGTGGGTGACTTTGGTTCCTCCTTCTCTAGGCCCCGTTACTTTCAGTTCCTCAGCAGCTGCCAGGCTGTGATTAAGTGGTGGAAGTGAGCAGGAAGGTGTGGACAAATCCAGCGCACGGACCAGGCTTTGCCACAGGCGGGGCCGGGAACCCCTGATAACACACTCCTCCTGTATTGGACAAGTGCACAAAGCTCACATTGGGCAAAAGCCTGGCTGCTGACACAGACTGCCCCGCCCCGCCCTGTCGGGTGGCCACTAAGGACCAACTGATTTAAATATCGCTAGCCCCTAACATACTCTGAGAGCTCCCTATGGGCGGGCCCTTCCAGAGCGCTCTGTGTTCATTCCCTTACTTAACCTGCACCACAGACCTTTTATATCAGACTGTATTAATATCCCCATGTCACAGATGAAGAACCTGAGACCCCAAAGGTGAAGTGAGGGTCCAATATTACCCTGACACAACCCAGAACAAAAGGAGTTATAAGAAAACTATAAATGAATATCCCTCATGAATATTGATGCAAAACTCTTTTTTTATGGGGTCTCATTATGTTGTGCAGTTTGGTCTTGAACTCTTGGGCTCAAATGGTCTTCCTGTCTCAGTCTCCCACATAGCTGGGACTAC